ACAAATATCTTTTGAGGACAACGATGATGTATTTAAACTTTCGAATTTTTTTTAAAATTCTTGATTATATCTTTTGTTTCTTCTCCTTTCCCGTTCTTTGAAAAATATTATTCCAACAGAAAAATAGCACAACTTTGTCTCCCATGTGAGACTCGGCCTGGCCCGATCGAAGAGATCCCACACTTTTTTATCTGCATGAAAATGCAGCAGAGGACAGGTGTTTACACCTTAGAAGAGCCGAGGACTCCATTAGGAGCCATATCGAAGACACGTGTCCATGACGTGTGAACTCCATGCAAATATTATTTTTTAGTAAACATATTCTTCAACACCTTTTCTTGTATGGGCAGCAGCTAAATTTTTTCTTAAACTTGGTGTCATTTTGACTTTATGCACGTCTGAAGGGCCCACCATTAATCCCAACCACCCCGAATAGCCAAGAACATCATCTGCCCCAAAAACATTTGCAAGATTGGTGTTCAAGAATTCAGAAATAGGACCCCATCTTCTTCTCAATTTTCTATATCATTATATAGATATACATACATGTATAGCTGCATGTCATATATTAGGATTTCCTCTTTCATTTCACACACATATCAGTTGTCTCTATCTTTTTCTTTTCCTTCTCTATTGAATCTGGACCTTGCTTTGAGACCAGCTCTGGTGAACCCTGATAAGGTATAACCCATACGTGCATTTTTAGCATAGAGTACTTGACGATACAATAAACCAGATTTTTACACTATTTTTCTCCGTTCATATTGTTCAATACGGTCCAATTTTACTTACCAAACATAAATTGTGTTCTATACATATTTTTTGTAGTGTATTTCTTGAAACAGTGATTCATTTCTCGGTGTGCCTAGGAAATTGTATATGATGAACATGTTTGCTCAGCCTATTTTCAACTTATATCCAGTCTTTTATTTTTTCGCTATTGCGATTCATATGATTTTGATGTCATTTATATAAGACAAATGGTTTGATTTATGTATCTAGGAATCAGTCATTTTAAATGCACTTCGATATCAATTCCTGAGAAAAACAAAATTAAAATGGTGGATTGGGTAAAGGATCACTCACAATACCCAACATTTTCAAAGATTAATGTTTAAAATCGTGATGGAATAAGTTCTCGGTATAATTATGAGATTGAGACAATTGAAACTTGGATATATTTGTACGAATCAAAAGCCATAGTTTGTTCGATGATTTGGAAATTGTCGTTGATCTGGTTGAAAACATGTTATACATGTCTTCCTAGAGTTTGATATAGTTATATATATAAAGAAATAAAATAAACTTTCATTCTTAAAGTTCTTCATTCCCTCTTTTTTGATCGATGAATAGATTTAGGTCACAAATTCGTTACTCGTTTTTGCAGTCAGAACTAAATTCATTTAGATAATAATCTGCAAGGACATATCGATGATTTATGATTGCTTTTTATATGGTTTTGCTGATATCTTTTGATAAAATTATCTTTTTATTTATTATTTGAATTCTTTCAAAGAAATTGATCAGAAATTTTCAGAGAAAATCTTTAGGAAAATGTTGGCAGACTAATGGTTTAATCTGTTAGTAAAATGAGCTTCGAAAGTATAATTGTTTAGGCTGAGGGTTTGATTCTGTTGTCTTACTTCTATTAATGTGCATGAATCATGGATTGGCATAGCTAAGCTTCTCTTAATACCATAGACAATATCATCCATGGTTTAGTGATTTTAGTTTCACATATGTAATTGCATTTACTGATACTCTGCAGCGGAATCTTGATCGCCAGATATATAGAAGACTTCTGATTACGAAAAACTCAAAATGGTAACCACAGATTCCGACATCATGTCCCAAGGAGAGGTGGAGCAGCTATTACAATCAAGCGAGCAGCAGTCGAAGATCCAATCATTTCCATCACTAGGCAGACAATTGTCTATATACTCTCTCACCCTTGATGAGTTTCAACACACTCTTTGTGAAAGTGGGAAGAATTTTGGATCCATGAATATGGATGAATTTCTCAACAGCATATGGACTGCCGAAGAGAATCAAGCGCAAGTAAATGCACTTTCGGACACTGGAACCAGTGTCCATGCAGCACAATCTTTCCTGACAGATAAGGGCATAGGTAAGCAACACAGCATATCAAGACAAGGCTCTCTCACTATTCCAGAGCTTTTATGCAGGAAAACAGTGGATGAAGTATGGTCTGACATTCACAAGAATCAACAGCAGAAAAATAGTGAGCATTATGTTCAGAATCCCGATTCTGCTCAGCAACAACCCACGTTTGGAGAGATGACATTAGAAGATTTCTTAGTTAAAGCGGGGATTGTAAGTGAACAGGATAAACCCCCGGCACCACCTCAGCAGCCATATGGAATTTACCCAAATAGAAACAATCATACAGTGGGACCTACTTTTGCTGCTAGGCCTGTAAGGAGTGTTGGTGGTGGTGCTGTCGCAAATGTTGCAACTTATCAGACGCTTCCACAGAGTAGCATCGGGGAGGTGGCAGGTTTTCCTGGGGAAATGAAACAAGGTCATGGTTATGCACAGCAACCATCGGCAATGTACGGAGGGAGAATGGGAAATGGCAGTGGAGCAGGATACAGACAAGGTCGGGGTCTAGGGATGGGTTCACCTGTAAATCCGGATTCATCAGATGGCTTATGTACAAATCAGGTGGACAGTGGTAATCAGTATGGATTGGATATGGGTGGTGCAAAAGGAGGGCGGAAGAGGATCACAGACAGTCCGATCGAGAAGGTGGTGGAGAGGCGACATCGAAGGATGATAAAAAATCGTGAGTCTGCTGCACGATCTAGAGCAAGGAAGCAGGTATGCTTTCTAACTCAGCATATGGACATATTAGATCCAGTCATAAGGTTTCCTTAATTGCTTTTTGTTTATGTCGTTTTGGCAGGCATACACAGTTGAACTGGAAGCCGAGTTGAACCAGTTGAAAGAAGAGAACACACACCTAAAGATGGCTCTGGTAACTAAATATATTCAAACGAATAGGCTTATTTTGATATTATGAAGTTGACTCGAGTCCACAAGCCTTCTCATTTTAATCCATCTTGGATTAGTTTCATTTTACATAATATAGTTACTTTTGGATCCTCGTTAATCACTATTATCCTTTACACTCTGAACAGGCCGAGCTAGAAAGGAAAAGGAAACAGCAGGTAAATGATCTCAGTGAAGTGTGTACTTTCTTTTGTGTATTGTTACTTAGCAGCTATGAGATAAATAAATTCATCCCCTTCTAATTCTTCAAGCCTTTAGATAAGGCAGTTCAAACATTCCATCTCGGTAAGAACCCAGATTTTGCAAATGCTGTCAACATGTGCAAACTCGTGTCCTGAATTTTTATAATGATTACTGCAGTTGTATTTCGGATTAACTTTTATGTGCTTCTGCAACTTTGTACACAGTACTTCAAGGAAGCGATAATGAAAGTGCAGGTCCAAACCAAGGCCCAAAAAACTAACGAGAAATTAAGGACGTTTAGAAGAACCATGAGTTGCCATTACTGAAGCAAATCCGTTGTCTGCATCAGAAACTAAAAGCTCAATACAAGCAGAGACGTGGGGCTGGATGAACTGTATAATGCCATTTTCTTGTTCTCTGAAGACCAAAAATGAAAGCAAAACCAGTCTGGGGAACCACCTAGACACTCTGCATTACTTCTCCATAAATGGTTATAGTTTTCAATAATCTAGTTGCGTTATAGCTACCCTTCTAGTTATAGTTGAAATACCATTTGGTTTTCAGTAATGTTGTGTGTTTCTGTATGTTGCTTGTACATTTCTATTTCTGTTTCAGCAACAAGAAATTGAAGTTGAAATCTGTAGTTTCAAGATCACTTGGAGAATGGGACCATTTACTTACAATACAACACAAATTTGAAATTAAACTCTTCTCTAGGCTTTTCAGAGGAAGCTGTGAAAATATTTACGATAATGATCCAGTGTTGTTACCTGGAATGGTCATACGAAGAAGGAAAAGGCTCTGATGGTAAAGGCATGGCTTATTGTAACTCTTCACAGCTTCAAGATATTTCTTCAAGTCTGATTCTTTGTGCTATTCTAACGAGACCTTTCTGCTCTGTATGGATTAACAATTCTCCGGTGCGACTCTATGAAAAAATCAGACAGCTTGGAACCAAGGGAAAAGACATGCTAAATTCCATTTCCAAATCTCATCCTCCAGCGTCCATAAATCCATTGATGTTTCTGATGAACACCATGACGAATAAAGAGCCTCTAATCCCAGTAAATCCCATTAGGCTGTACCTTTCAGGATCACATGTTGGATATTTGATGATGTAAATTGTTGTCTCCAAATCAAATGATAGAATCGATTTGTTGCTCCAGCCAGAAGAAAATTCCCAATAAATAGCTCCGTTCACGCAGAGGGGGTACCTACCGGCACATTTATTGCAAGGACAATTACCTATTCTTCTCCAATAACTAGCACTAACGTCCTCGCCATCTCTAATAGTAAAAACTTCACATCCCATACGTTCCCCGTCACCACAGAAGCGTTGATCAAGCAAATGCACAATTTTGTATTCACTTAAACCCAATATTATTAGGACTATGTGGGACGCGAACAACTTCATGGAAGCTGGGATAAAGGGGACTTAAGCTAAATTGTCACTAGAAACAAACAAAATTTAGCCTCCGTTTAGCAAATTTATAAATAAGAATAGTAGTGGGTCCCACGAAATGTGTGGATAATAATGAATAGTAATTATGTATGTATGATTGGAATTAATATTTGACTTTAACTGAATTTATAAACAAATTTAAAAATTGTATCCAAAAGGAGGCTAAATCAATATTTGACTTTCACTGAATTTATATAGACAAATTTAAAAAATGGAACCAAACGGAGGCTAGACTTCCATAGTTTAACAGTTAGGAAACATACTTGGTTGAACACTACTGTGATAGAGGTGCCTAAAAATAAAACCAGCAGGCAGATCAGGGTTGCAAGTTGCAATAAAGATTCCACAGGCTGCCCAGCCTTCGGATCATCTCCGTCTATCATGTCCTTTGACAGGTAACATTAAAATTCCGTTTTGTCAATTCCCTGGTTCCTATTTTTCTTCTTCTCTGGAAAGAGAAGTTCAATGAGAAAAAATAACAAGATTAGCAAGAGTGTAACCTAACAATCTTATTTGTCAATGTTAACATTGAAAACTGCATTAATTACTCAAATCACTGTCAACAAAATATGTAAGCGACTGGGGAGGGAGACAGAGAGACATACAGACCATGGATACATACGAAGATAACAGTAGTTTGCAATTTCCTATATATGTAGCAACCTCTTACCTGTGAAATGCCGGCCACCAGGTGAATTATCAAAGTAGCATCATAATACGTGGGAGGTTGAAGTCTGAGAACTTCACAAAACCAACGAATAAATGAATTCAGAAATTTTGGCATTATTACGTCAATGATGGGAATCTGCCTTTTAATATAGTCTGCATAACAGGATGAGGTGACTCTTTATACTACATCTATTTTTTCACTCTGATTTCAATTTTTAATGTATGTTTTTTGATAAGTCAAAATGTTAGTTAAAAAATTTGTGACAAGGAGTTGCAATCCATAGACAAAATCTACACTCAAGTATATACCTTCACTAATTCATACTCATTTCCTTATTCCCATCTCAAGCCAAGACGAGAGATTAAAAACCAGGAGTTCTAGCAAGCGCAATCAAGAAGGTATTTGAAAATTTTCTCTTAAATTTAGCTCAGGAAACAAGTAGAATTTGTTCATCACATCAATAGAAAGGCCATGCAATCCAAAAACAAAAAAATTCTGTTTTATACATGTACCATCTCTCCACACACACAGACAGTTGGAAAAGGAAAGGCAAATAGAAGAAGAACCAGGACTAAAGTCTAAAAGCAGTTAGTTGGACTCCTAATATCATTCCTTTTCCTAATTTTCAACTTTTTCATCTAAGACTTTCCTCACTTCATGGCTAATGGTGCTTTCCAGCATCTCTAACACACTTTCACTACTCATCACCAAGCTTTTTCCTATGAAGAGGCTGTCATCTCATACAGTTACAATATAACTTTATACTCAATGTACAAGTAGTGTTTAACAAGGCAAAGGTGGAAGGCTAGGCACTCCACATCTCGCAGAGCAGAGCATACAGCACATGACATATGCACTATGAATTTTTTACTTTAAATATTTCATGAAATAGATCAATTATTTAAAAATAAAAAATTGCAGAAAAAACTATGGAAACTGATTGGGGAGAAATTGTATACAAGGTTTGTTCAAGTTTACAAAGACATTTTGATTTATACCAAACTGCAAGAATGCCACAGAGAAGTTATACACAAATACTAGTTCAATTTAGCCCCTGTTTGTCTAGCATTGTTTCAAACTTTTTTTTCTCAAACTCATTTTCAACCACACATTCTTACAATAAAACATTTTGCACGTAAATCCAAAACTTTTTCCCACTTTTTAACCCCACATTCTCCAAAAATTCATTATTCCAAACTCATTTTCATTGAATAATGGTAGACAAACATGAGCTTAGTTTCTGAGAATAAACAGAATGGTGTGGTACCAGAATTAGATTTGGAGGAAACAACATGCAGCCAATTAAGGTTCTGACGTTTCTTGAACAATTTATTCAGCGTCATCATAAACTATTGTAAACAATATCGTGTTTTTTCAATATTTCAATGGCACTAGATCAAATGAGCTTCGTTGCACCTAATTTGTCACAAAACAATGACATTACGATCCATCCTTTACCAATATGATTGCTTGTACAGGTCGATTTCATTAAACAAAAGAAACAGTTATCAATTGATGGTGATGTAATTAAATGACTTTTTTTAACCTGAGAAGACAGGTATCCTCTCTTTCTTTGAAGCAAAAGACTGAATACTAAAATTATGCTTCATTACAGCACCTTCACCCAACCTAAAGAAGCTAAAACCACAAATATTTCAACACTCAAATACACTGGGAAAATGCTAAACAAAGGTAAAAACTGAGAAAAAACGAGTTCATCAATCCAGGTCATTAAGCATTCATACAGTATTCTTCAGCTAACAAGGACTTGGAGTGATTAATATGATTAAGTTTATATTTCATGCCAAGCAACAGAAAACTCGGTGTCTCAATCTAAGAAGCACCTAACATAAAAATGTCAGCAGAGCCAATAACAAATGTAGAAGTGTAGCCTGAGAAAATCATTTTCAGACATTGCAGAAATAGATCTTGGATTAACAAATATTAATTGGTAATTCCAGAGAAAACTTGATAAATCCTAAATCTATTTGGATCATGATCACAAATGCTGAAACGCATTATAGTGAATGATCAGACAAAAGAGAAACAACCTTAAGTATCAGAGATTGAATAAAATCCTTCAGGGAAACCACATCTTAGAAAATAGATTGATTTACAGAGTGAGAGAAAGATAGGAAGGAGCATGTCAAAAAAGTAGATATGAGATGGGTGCCATGACACACACAAATTGTTTGAATCAAAACATGGAAAAACCCAGAAGTCCTACAGAACTTGAGGTATTTTACATTTAGTTAAGCCCTTCTAGCGTAATAATTGGTATAAATCATCTCAATCTTTTGGGAATCATATCATTTGGTTCTGAACCGATAATTTTTGATTTCTTTTTTTGAAGCTAGAACGCTTTCTGTATATTTTTAGATTTTCTAAGATCAAACATGGTATGCTCTTTCTCTTTCTCTATCTCATATTAACTTCCTCCAATTTATTCTCCATACTCTCATTTTCCCATCAGTTCTGCATTTCACCGTTTAGTCTTCTTCAATTAAGAACACGACTGACGAAAAGCCTCACCTTAAGTGCAATGTTGAGCGACATATTGACGATAAATCTGTATTCATGTAAGCATAGAAAACTAAATGCACATCAAGGTGCATCTAATGCACAGAGCAATCAATCATATAATCATGCATATCATCCCAAACTCAGAGAGAGGGGAAATGTAGTTAGATACTCCCTATGTTCAACAAGAAGAAATTGAATAACAAATTCTCATAAACTCATTGATCATCTTGATGTTCTTTTATATTCGCTCAAAGGCCTTAAAGTTCTTCTTTCATAAATTTCAGATATTCCAATGAGAAGACAGAAAAATGATTTTCACTCATTATCAAACAATGTGCAGTCAGTTTTAAGATGGTGCGTGTGTAAGCATCTTCTCCCTCTTTGCACAAAACAAACACTGCTTCCCATTTGAAGGTCCCAGAAAAGGAGACCACGCGAAAGAGAGAAGAATTAGATTCACATTACCAAAACAATTTTTCTTGAATTGATTCTGGAGATTTGCCAATCATCAGCAAATTGTCCCATCTTAAAGTCTATAGGGCACTCTTATAATCTAGAGGGTAAAGACGGTGTCCCCTTTAACTCATAGTTATTCACTTATTAGTTAAACATTTAAATTATCTCTCCTAAGGGCCGCTTGGGAGTTCCGGCGTACCGGTTATCCGCATTTTTTAAAGTATCGGTTATAAGCATTTGTGAGCGGACCAATTATGTGTGATTTTAGTAGCGGTTTTTAAAACAGTTCAACTCATACTTGAGAGTTTCTTATCTACCGGTTCTAAAAAAAAAATTAAAAAATAAAGTTACATATATGTCCTTTAGTGAAATTTTCAGTTTATAGTTTTTTGTATGCAAATTTTTACTTAAAATGATATTTTACTTATATGTGATTTTTTATATATAAGTTAATATTTAACTTAAAAAGTTAAATAAGGTTAAATATATACCTAAAATTTTATGTTAGTATTTTTTAGGTATAAATAAACTTTATAATTATAAGTTTAATTTTGTACTTTAAAATAATTTTTACTCGTAAGTGAATTTTTTAATTATAAGTAAATTTTTATACTTTACAAGTGATTTTTTGCTTTATTAATAATATTTTTACACAAAAATAATTTTTTATCTTTTAAGCAATAGTTTACTTACAAGTCATTTTTTAATTGTAATGTAATTTTTTTTGCTTACAAATAATTTTTTTAGTTAGTATATTTTTATTTGTAAGTTATTATTAAACAAAATATGTTAAATTGGAAGAGATATTGGGAAACGGCCAAAAACTGTTGATTTGGTGGGTTGAAAGAACCAATCAAAATTACACTGCATCTTTTTTGGGTGGTTTTTAAACCATCCAAAACTGGTACCCATAAAAACTAACCGAATTTTTCAACCCCTCATAAACGGTGCCACCCAAATCGGTCAAAACCAGAGAAAATAAAACTCCCAAGCAGGCCACTAAATAACTTGGACCCAACAAGGAATCTAAAACTGGAAATCGGGATGAAACCTCATTTATGTCACTAGCAATTCTTGGATTCTGATCACTTCCCAGAGTAAGTAATTGATTCCAAGGCTCTGACAGACTCTATGTTATTATGAGACTACAAAGAAATATATACAACTAGAGAGAAGGAATCTGAGATTTAAATGGAAGTATAAGTAATAGACAATACAAGCAACAACCAAGACCTTTAAAGAAGTGTACAGTCAAATGTTATATTCTATTTTCCTCTTTACCGTATCAGTCAACAGATTGAAGGTATCTGTATAATAACTAATAATCGTATTAAAACCCCCAAAAAAAAGGGTAGAAGGGGAGTGGTGAAAGAGAGCTAAATAGAAGCCACAATTGAAAATATAAGAAACAACAATAAATGGGATTGAAAATCCTCCTCATGGGAAACAAGAACAACATAATGCAAACTTTAAAAATCATCAAGAAAAAGAATAAGATAATCACCGTATGCAAGCATGAGATGAACTCGTACACAAAAAGTATGATTGATATACAACTGACAAAATTTATCTGGGAAAGACAAGACCAAAGACAGATGAAGAACCTCTACCAAAGGTCATGTACCTGCTTATGCAGTACAATATCTATTCATATTCGAATTGAACCTCTACATGCAGGTACTTCCTCATGAGTCTTACAATACATGATGTGAAGTTGGCTAGCAGATTGCATTCTTCATGGGTTTTGGTCTCTGAAACAACCCCATGGATGACTAACTTCCTAAGATGTGGACACCTTTCTAGAAGTCCGGACACCCAATGTGAGAACAGTTCACTAATTACTGTCCACCCAAGTTCCAACACAACCACATTCTCCAAAACAAATGAACCTTGCAATCCATATTGGATTGCAGCCTCTCGTAGATCATAACTCAGGGATAGATGACTTAATAAAGGAAAGCATGAAGAAATAGTCTCTATATCAACCACCTCGTCCTCATCATCAAACACAACACCCCAAAGCCTAAGCTTTCTCAACTTTGATGATCTTGAGATCATAAGATGGAACTTTGCCCACATGATAGTAAAATTGCTCACATCCACAACCTCGAGATTTTCAGCACTCTCACCAATATCAAGATGTATGACACTAACATCATCGATCTTCAGGAACCTCAACATCCCCTTGCCGACAAGCTCAAAAACATCAAGTGTACAATCTTTCAAGTGCAACTTCTCCAGGCTATCAGCTTCCAATATGAACTTATCCAAGCTGATTGCTTCAACATAAATATCCTTCAATGAGTTACTGCTCAAGTCCATTGTTGCCTGTGGATCTGACATAACAATGTCTAGACTGACAAGGGTCAGGACTTCAACTTTTGGACAGGCAGTGAGAAGAAGACTCAGATCTAATGCTGATACACTGACATAGCTCAGAGAGAGAGATCGCAAGCAGGGAAATTTCTGATAACTGGGTTCAACCCCTGTAATAGTATTGTGAGACAAAGCCAACACTTCAAGCTTCTGCCTACCACATTTTTCAAGAATGTTAATGTTAGGGGTCGTCCTTACATTATAATGCAGCTGACGCAATGTTTCCCTTGTGTACATGAGCCAAGCAACAACTGGGGCAGCAGAGAATTCATCCACATCATCGAGAATTATTGTAAGGCACTGCAGTCCACTGATTTGAAATATCGTTTGAGTAATGAGTATCTCAAGTCTGCTTGTGGAGAACTCATGATACAGAGACCAATCATTAGAATTAAATGTGAGGGTATGTAGATGATTCCTCCATGCTGCTTGCCATTTTCGGCATGTTGCAGATGCAATTACAATATCTCGGGCAGCCCCAAGCCGTGATAGTATGTTCCCAATGACCTCTACTGGAAGATACTCCATAACTTAATAAATAAAACAGCTGAGAAAGAAATGGGTCCGAAAATGCTATAGCCCTTCAAGTTCAATCAAATCACTGAAAAATTGCAATTCCAAAGCAGAATAATCCAAATAACGATTATTCAGTGATTCCAAGCCTACCGTCTGATTCATTTCCAAGGAACCTATACGAACCTGGTGATTGATTAAAACCCAAATAGCAAATTACCAAACCTTCATAACCAAGATTAATATTCTTAAAATCCCAAACCATAAGCCCAGATCCAGAAATTCAGCAAAAAAAATCCAGATTCTACAATTCCTAGAAAATAGAATAAACAATACCACACGCCCAGTATAAAACAGCTCTCCCTTGAAATATCAATCAACTTTTGAGGAAAGCATAATCTTTTATCAGCCGTTTATCAAATTGACTTCACCCACGCTCTCCAAATATATTCCTGAATTAAAAAAATATGAAAAATACATAAATATAAATATTACAGTATATAATATCATAACTCATTCACAAAAAAAAAAAAGAATATAAATAAGGATATCTTACCTAAACAATCAGATGATAACTAATGCAACCCAAACCAAAATACGATCTATAAAGAAAATCAAATCATATATAAATTATTTCTATAATTAGAGAGAGACAGAGTGTACAGGGATTGATAGAAGCGATGATGGACACAACGAGAAAAAGGGTACAAAGAATGGAATCTAATTTGCTGGAAGGGCCAACCTTTTGTGCCTGTGTGTAGGAGAGAGAGAAGAACAATACACGTAGTGAGGGTGTATAAAGGTGCGTGCAAAAGTGGTGAGACCCACGTAACTTACTAGTATTTTATGACTGTATTATTGTGCATTACAGCTTCAACCAACCAATCATATTTCTAAATTCATCCCCTCGATTTTCAAGAAACAGAAAATTACCCAATCTAAGGAAATTTATAGTGCTGAACAAAGCCCTAATTTAAGGAACTCTCTCGAGATGGAGACCAGATGCCAGAACAATAATAGAAATTGAGAAATAAGTGGTTGTTCAAAATTTCATTAATCAAATTTGTCCTTGTGTTTTGAACAGAGAACAATTTCTTCATTTTCAATATTTTACTTAACTACCATAGAGATTTTATAAGGGAATGTTTTTAATCCCTTCCAAACAAGCTCTAAATAATATTACTTAGGGGTGTTTGTTTGGATTTTTTGGGAGAAAAATTGATTTTTAAATAGTGATATGATGAGAAATGTATGGTTGAAAAAGAAGAAAATATTGTTGATGTGATGAAAAATATTATTTTATTGAAAAATGTATGGTTAAAAATGAGAANTATAGTCGTTATTGGGTCTCACCCGTCTAATAAAAGTCAACTTCAACGATTATATTTTCAATTTTAATCTGATTTTAATCCCTTCCAAACAAGCTCTAAATAATATTACTTAGGGGTGTTTGTTTGGATTTTTTGGGGGAAGAATTGATTTTTAAATAGTGATATGATAAGAAATGTATGGTGGAAAAAGAAGAAAATATTATTGATGTGATGGAAAATATTATTTTATTGAAAAATGTGTGGTTAAAAATGAGAATTGATTTACTGTAGAATTTGAGAATTCCAAACAAACACCCCCTAAATAATTGTAATTAAAAAATATATTAAATAATTGCTTAAACGAGAGATAAATGAACATATTTTAAGAATATTTCTATTTAGCTCTCGTGTTGTCCAACATCCATTTAAGTGATGACATATGATGAGTAAATAAAACATATCCTTAAATTTCATTGAATCCATCATTAAATATCACATGTATTATCACATAAATTAATTTAAACACTATTATTTTAATTGCATTACTCATATTTTAATCACGTTATTCCTTGAAAATCCTCGAGTGGGATAGGGAATGGAAAACGGCCTCACCCAATACCCAAACCCTATCCATAGTTAACTAGATGTCTACTTAAATATTGTGCAAGTCGTAAACTATCAAATGAACGGTTTTCTTTTCTTCTTCTTCTTCTTCTTATTTTTATTTTTTATTTTTTGTAGTAATCATATGAAAATGATTTGTTGTATATGAAAATAAGTCAACTAACTTGTTTAACATGTTAATTATAAATTATGAAGGTCATATTAGGAAGAGCATGATTTTTTCTTTTTTTTTCCTTTTAGCAAGTATCAAGAGATTGGATCTAATAGTAAAAACTTCTCTTTTGCGACGAGGAGGGATTCGAACCCTTCATACAAAGAGAAATAAAACTAAAAAAAAAAAAAAATCAAATCGCACTATCTCTGTAATAGGTAACATTTCTTTCCTCTATAGTTTGGATCTTAGTTCCTTGAAAAAAAAATATGTTACTGCTGAAATACAGAAAAATTAAAATCTTAAACTAAAATACTATATATAGATCCATTCGCTGTAATATATTGCCACTCTAATATTAATCATGTAACTATACTTTAATTTGTTACAATTAGGTAATCATACTTACAATTGTTTCAAATCGAGTAGTTATACTTTAAATTTGATTCTATTGAGGTAACTTCATCTAATTTCATCGTTAGTTGACGTCGGTCATGGAATTGGATGGAGTGACTTTAACTGAAGTCAAATTAAATTATAGTTATTCGATTGAACAAAATTAAAGTATAATTACGTGATTAATATTTGAGTAAAAGTACAAATTTCGCTAATAGAATTTACTCGTCGAAATGAGAACATGTAATAAAAAATAGGGAATGTGAAAGGTATGAAAATGCACGAAATATATATAAAAACTACACAGAACACACAAAAATGTATAAAATTATATACCAAATGTATACCAAAACCTATAAAAGTATATGAAATGTAAGAAAATGGATGATAATGTACAAAATGTACGAAAAGATAAAAAAAAATTAATAAAAGATAAGAAATTGCACGAAATGTATGAAAATACATTAAAAAAAAAAAAAGCACAAAATATTTCAAAATGGGCAACATTTGTGGAACGAATGAAAATGTATTAATAAATGGACAAAAATTGTACAAAACAATGTACAAAAATATATGAAATGAGAAAAAGTACGAAATAAAGTTTAAAAAAAAAAAATTTGCGATAACTTGACTTTCACTCAAATATTAAGTATGTAACTAAACTTTAATTTATTTCAATATGGTAATTACATTTAATTTTGTCTAAATTAAGACTACTTCCAATTATGTCACTTACTTACTGCTACGTCGTTGATTTTCTTAGATCAAAGTCACCGAATTGGACAAGTTACATTAATTAAAATAAAATTCAAGTTTATGTTATTCAGTTGAAGTCAAATATAGTTAAGTAATTGACATTAGATTGAATGTATAGTTACCGTGAATAAAATTTATCAATTTATAAAGTAATCTTGTTACCAATAAAAAATATACATTTTAAGTTATTAAGACTTGTGGTTTCATGTTAGAAAGTCAACCTTATTTAAAAGAGTATCATAAATTTTTTTATGCTTATTGGTGTTATCCTTAGATAGTGTGAGCCAGCATTGGAGTAATTGATATGAGACTTTACGCTTAACAAGTCGTCGGAAGATGTTGACTCGCTTGATACATCAATCCTGAAATTCAAAAACTCATGCGAGTTTTAAATAGATCAATTGCTTACCCGAGTTTAATGCACGTTGACACTATATTAATCAATTTATAAACTCGCTTGGATTTTTTAGAAAGAGGGTAATCCAAACTCTTATATATTGATTATTATAATCATTTTTATCTAGTTTGAATTTTGGTGCTTTTTCACGGAAAGCTATCAACTTTTCATGGATGTTTGGAGTCTGTTCGTAGTATACTGATGGAAAATTATAAATAGGTGATAGTTTTCCTTTTCTATACACTGGATATCATAATTCATTTTATATTTGAAAGAATTTTTTCCAATTTTCATATACATTTTCAAACCCTTATTGTGTTCTTAAATTTTTGGAAGAGTTCAATCATATAATTCATTTATCATGAGTCCCTTTAAGCACCAAATTCTATCTTAAAGGGAGACAAATATTGTTTGAGAACATGGATAATGCGTATAAGTCTCATTTTGGTGTTTTTCGATGTTCTTGCCATTTCATTTGTTCTCTTTTCCCATACAAAAATGAACAAGGTCGCTCACGAGGCCCATGTGCCAAGTTGGCTTGTGTCTCGTCTTTGAACAGACCTTAGCTTGGGTCAAACCCTATTGTTGGCAAGACCAGAAAAGAATTTTGGCCTTGCCAGCTAGGCCCGAAAATAGCCTAACAATGGCAAGCAGGCAGGCAACGACCCATCTGACAGGCTCGAGCCATGCCAAACTGTAAGAATTCACAGCATGCATGATCATAAATTATGGGTCAACAATGAATTCTAAAATATTTTGAATGGTTGAATCACCTTACTTTTCAAAACTCCAAATCTGCAATTTTCTTGCACTCCAATTGTCACAATCTCGATCACAGTGGAGGTGGATTATTACCTGCAATCTAAGTGTCAATTTTTGTGAGTTTCATGCCAAAATTGTGGTTCCAGATGCTTTTCAATTTTGGTAATATTTTTCATATGATTTTCACCATATTGCAATATTTTTTTTTATCTCCATATTTTTCTAACACAATTAATTGGAGGTTATGTGGGGAGTTTTATGAGGTTATAGGGAATTAAATGTTTGAATTCCAAGTTCAAATCACTCCCTACAACCTACTTTATTGTTTTGCGGGTTGGGTCACCCACGACCCTTATTTGTCAACACGAACAAATATGGTACAGCCTGGTCCAACAAACCACTAATCGAGCTATCTCAGGCTTTACTAGTCCTCTGCGGGCTCATTTGTCATCCACTAGTGCCAACCATTAATTTGTTGAAGTAGATTGCTGGGTTTGTGATCTAAATTCATCTAGGGTTTGCATGGTTCGGTATATTAGGCCTTGAAGAAGTCTAATTAGGGTCCATGGAGGAAAAAAGGATTGACGGCACTAGCCCACAGCTAGCGGATGCTCGAGTG